GGTAGGGAATCCCTCTCCTGAGAGAACTCCAGATGAGAGGCGGCTTACTCCACCTCACCTGCACCACACCGAACACCAGCTATGAGGTTTTGAAATTAGACAACGTCTCCTGCATCTCATGCTGGCAGAAACACTCCGTTGGACACGTTCTGCCATTGCTGCGTAGCAGCAGCGCAGGCTGCCAAGCAGGTGCGTGGTCCCCGGCGTCAGCTTGGCTCTGTGCTCTTGCATTTCCACAGGGGTTCACAGTCATGAAAGGGTGTATCGCTGATAAAATAGCTAACAAGTATACGCTTAGCAAAAATAGCATTGCGAACTGCATGCTGACGCGCTTGCATTTCAGCTGCGATGCCTGGACATTTATCGAAGTCAATACACAGTCTTCATGGGCTCACACTGTCCCCAGATACCTCCGATACAACCCAAAATATTAATGAATACTTCTTGAAGCCAATACACACTCTCTTCATAGGCTCACACTGTCTCCAGATACCTCTGATAGAACCCAAAATATTAATGAATATTCCTTGATCTCTGACAGTCGGTACTTCTTATGGTTCTACCACGCAGCAAAGCCAATATAGCTCGGTACGACTGTTCCAGGCCTTTGTTGTCCGTTTGCCTCACATTTTGGCACTTGCATCATAGCTGATGTGGGCAGCCTTGCACGGTTGATGCTTTGACTCACCTTCGCGGCTCTCTCTTGCATGAATTCACTTCCGCAGCGGTTCTTAGGGCAAAGTGAGCTGGGGATTTCACGGCTCCCCTTCTTTCTGAGACCGGTTGCCAACTTGGTGGCTAGCAACAAAGAGCACAGATTCGTTTTTGCCACCCGCCAAGGAAGATGGCTAGGCACTTGATTACATACCACTTGCTCGGGCTGCGGATACTCGTTAGCATATACGATATATATGCGAAGACGAATACAGCTGTCCTGTAGGCCTGCACCCTGAGAATACACCTATCTGTGGGCTTATTTGCTGCCCTTTCCCGTCAGCAGAAGGGAAAACTTTGGCTATTTGACTTTTGTCAAACGTATTCCCATTACTCATTATGAGACAACGCTTACATCTTGTGATAAGTCTGATGCTTTGCGAAAGGCCTGAGAACACGGGTAGCCGCGCGCGCTTTGCTTCACGTCACCTTTGCCTTCACCGTGACCATTCAACAGTAGGAAAGCATATGCCTCATCAATTTCTTTTTGGGGGCCTGCCCTAGCCTTTGGCGTTGCAGCTACACTAATCTTTATTCAGTTTTAAGCTAGACCGTATCCGATTCCTATGCACGCTAGCTAGCTGACCGTCACAAATCTCCAGCGCCTCTGACTCTATATGCCATGCTCCGAGTTCGCAAGGCGTCCACGTGGTAACACAGGCAAGAGACCCTTGAGTATTTGGAACGTGGGACATAGAACGCTCAACGGTTGCTTTACGATGCAGGGAAAAACCCCGATGATGGCTCGGCTCGTTACATTAAAACCACGCACGCATGTATAGTGAGGCTACTCCCTTCAACATTATAATTTTATTGTGGTTCTTGTGGAACATTTGTCACAAGAACTGCATCTGTTTCGGCGGGCTCCTTTGAGTATGCGTGGCATGTATTAGATTCATTAGAATGAAGTTAATCGATGAATCCTTGCACAGTAGATAACCAGGGCTTTCGATGTTGATGCCAAATTAGTCATGATGCCAGGGTTGTAAATTGTGGTGTAGCCCTAGACGCAGTGTTGCGAACCTTGGCGGAGGTGCAGAACCTCCTAGGGCTACCTGGAAACGCGCAGTAGCAGTTTTGCTATCCGAGACTTTTGGCACTTCAGTTTTTTTACCCCTTAGTACGTGCATATTTGCATCTAGTTTCTGACTCACAAACTGTGCCCCAACATGCTCTTGGAGGACAAGAAAACGCTTGAGTCTAAGCCTTTTCGTGACCGAAAAGGCGTCCCTTTTTGTGGCGAAAAAATTGGTGCGAAGCTTGCGCGATGTGCCCGAGCCAATAGAAAGCTTTGCTTTTCGCTGCACAACTTTAAAAATACTTGTGCTGCACACTAGTTACCTGCCTTGTACGTCAGCTAGTTGGATCCACCCTATACAACCGTAGGAAACCACTTGAACGCTTGGTCAGCCAACGAAACGTTCTCCGGTGCGCGAAAATCCTACTTCAACTTATGTCACAGCTCTGAAGCGGAAACACTTTGAAAGCTGGTGACTGCCACATAGCTTGACACTCAAAGCTGCCTTTCGTCCTTCCTAGAACAAGTCAGCTGAGTTTGTTTGCATGCTGTTTAGTTGAAAATGCCTAAACTTTGGTTGCTTTATGAACAGCAACCACAATGCCATATTAATTGTTGTTTTGTCGCGGGGTATGTCGCACTTGTCCCTCTACCTTTCGCTTCAATGAAACCCTCAGAAAGTGCTTTTCGTGTTTTTCGCTAGATGCGCCCGCTAGTTGAGATATCGTGAGTAAAACGTTTTGCAATCTGAAGGGAAAACTATATTGTGAAAAATTGTCCCTAATATTCTTAGTATTACCCCTTAAATATTACGCCCTCAGGGCTGAGCGAATGAACTTCAAAGCAGTGAAGTCAACAGGAGCATATTCTCCAGGTGTGTTACTGCAACAGCTACACGACGATTGAAGCATGCTGAACTTCAAAAAATTCAAACATCTCGACGTCCTGCCATTATTTCGCCCTTTGGAAGTGAGGAAGTGACCGTAGAAACTAAAGAGGCATGTATAATAGGGATGTCCCGACACATTTCCAACAACTATAAAATTTATCTGCCGCAGCAAGCTGCCTTTCGCCTTCCCTTCCACGCTTCTTGCAAACATTTGGCCTGACAGTACCCTGATGGAGCTGGCGTGCCGGTATCCTGCACAGTTTGAAGAACACAAGCACAAATTCAAATAGGTTTTGTTACTGGTGCCACAGAATCCTTGGCGCACAAACTCAGTAATACCATGCATTCAGTATCTTGACGCGCCTATGAAGAAGCATGACACTGCTGAAGCAATAAGTGTTCTGCATTTAAAGCAAGTCAAGATAGAAAGCGTCCTCCTTCACTCTCTCCCTCGTTGTGACAATGTAAAACGTACGACTTCTTACACCGAAGCTAGACCGTTCACACCAACTTCTTGAAAATAGATTTCTTCAGGATTAACTTTTAAGATGTAACTAGACGCTGCGTCCTCAAAGGTGAAAACGGGGTGCAGAATCTGGCTTGAGTCTAGCTGAAAAGAAAATAGCTGATTGCATAGTGGGCAGGAACGAAGAGGGCCCCCAGGTCCCCATGCTACAATGGTGGTACCGCAAGTGTCGCATGTTTCTGGGACGGCAGGCCCGCCGTGAGGCCAGAAACAGTCTGCATCATTTGTGGTGAGCGGGGAGAAAACTGGGGAAACAGGCGATTCTGGCTTAGTCTTAGCTTCCTGGCTATCGACACCCTGCTGCAGAAGCCACGTGGCATACCGTACGGGGAGGCCCGTTGCACCACACCAGGGAAAGAGCAAGTCACAAGATGGGCAGAAGCATTCCCAGTAAGCGCTAGGAGCGTTGCATTCCGGGCAACAGAGCTCATGTTTCATTGGAGTTTGGAGCGTCTGGCGTCTCAAGGAAAACGACAAGCTTGTATCTTCCAGTCGTTGCTTATTCATTTGGGACTCTTGAGCATGCAACTCCAACGTATGCAATGCTTGCGAACACAAATTCCACTCTCTTGACTTGTAGGCAGAGATGAATAGCATATGAGCACTGAGATGAGGGGGAAATTCCCGCGAGTAACACTCCCACAATCTTACTGCGACGCAGAGAGCTGCGCGAGCTCGCCGTTCGGATAAGTGGAAACAACAAAGAAGGTAAAGATGGCATGCTGCAGCACATCTCCAATGCTTTTCTTCTTCTGCAGTTTGACGCTGATGCAGTATCTTGGCATTTGCCGTTGAATGAACAGGCGTTCCACTGGCTCTGCTGCAGACGGTCTCAAGAGTGGGAGTGCAGAGCACTTCTTCAGAATCTTTTGCAGAACCGCCACTTAAACGGTTTTGCCGAACAAGTAATGCAGCAGATACATGCATCTTTCGCTGGCGCTGAGGGTTTTGAACGTGAAGGAGGCGGCTGGGGAGGCTTGTTAGCTCTTGGGCTGCTGCCTCGAAGGCGCCAATGTTGAGGAAGGCCTCCACTATGTCTATGCTGTTGCAGTTCTTGCTCTGGTGCTGGACTGCAATTTTGTAGGTAGCGGCTATCTTGTCCAATTTATCTTTGTCACAGTGCTGCCTAGCGAAGGAAACAGCCTGTGCCCACTCCGCACCTTCTAAGGCGGCATCAACAGCAAGTTCCGGCATTCCCGCTTTGAGAAAAGCCGCTGCACTTGCTGATCCCTTCCCCGAAGCAGCAAGCAATTGGGCTGCGCGGAAAAGCAATTCTTTATTTCCGTCAGGGATCGTGTTGGCAAGTTCTTCCAGTTCATCATACTTTTCAGAAAAGAAATATGCCTCGAGAAGTCCCTCTTGAGGCCTCAATAAAGAGTAGAGATCAATACACTCTCGCCACTTCCCCTTTTCCTTCAAAGCTTCTGCCAGGGCAGTCCGAACGTGATCCAAACAGCTGTTTTCCCACTGATTGCGTGAAGAGGCAGCCAACTTTAAGGTGTCTGACGCGGCGCTCCACAGACCAAAAGAAGCGAAAAGATGTGCGGCGTGATCTCTTCTTCGCTGCGCTTCATAAAAGGCTCCCGCCCCTAGTATGTCCCCAGCTAAAACAGATATCAAGGGCCTGCCATCTCCCCTTGGATTCAGACGACGGGCCTTCTTGAGCACTTGCAGGCTACAATAGTCTTCGCACCTACGCGACCGTACGATAGACACTGGCGCAGTATAGCGACATCAGGCCCCATAATAATGTGTCAGTGGCCATTTATCTACGGAGATAGTGCCTCTAATATGTACTTGTTCTTCAAGATTTTGTAAGTTTCAGAGGCCTGTACCCCTCTGATACAGCAATTTCACTGCCCTCCTAAACAAAAAGGCTGGGTCTGTGTCATGGTAACAGACCTCACGAGTGCCTCCTCCGCAATTTCGAGCTCTTCAAGCTCCAGGGCAGCTTTAGCCAGGAGTCTCCAAAGCGTGGAGTGGCTAAAGCTGGCAGCTAAAGTGGCAGCTTGCTGGAGGCTCACTACGGATCCACGGTCCTGTGTACCTGTTCGACAAGCGTCAAGCAATTGCCTCATCTGCAGCAGAGGCTGTGCATCAAAAGTGCTGAATTGCACATGCTGTTCCTCAGTTACCTTTCGTCGCAGCATTGTAGGAAGACATACTGCTCTTGCGCAAAGGTTGCGAAAGTCAATGAGGCATACGGGCCCAGTGATGAGTTTCTCATTTGCGTCGAAGCCAAACAACGAGGAGGGCGATACCCCTTGACGCGTCGTTTGGACAAGAAACAATCCTGCGGGAAGCATCACTGCAATTAGATCGTTGTGATCGTTTGCCCACATGCAATCGAGAACGTCCTCCAAGGGATCGCAGAGCACTTCGGCAAAGCAGGAGGAAGGAGAACCTGAACAGATCCTCAGGAGGAACAGGGAAGTTCTTGCTGATAACAACAAAGGCGTTTTCCCGAGCTAACTTTACAAAGCACCCCTTTAACTCAGGGGCAACAACACACAGTCTAGACGTGATCACTCTGTGCTCAAGTAGAGCTTGCCTGTTTGCTCCTTGGAAGCTGTTACTTTCAAAATATGAAGGCACCCATGCATGTCCATCCCTGCAAGTGCCGTCGCATCGTTATTTAGTTTCATAGACTTCAGGGGACTTGGTGCAGTGCCAAAGGCTTCCAGCTGGAGCTGAGGCTTCTCTGTTGAAAGTGTCAGACGAAGCAACTGGCCCCCAGTCCGAGCCACAAGAAGGCATGTGCCACATCCACTCAGTGAACAAATTTGTTCGCTGCTTGTCTCGATCGGCAATACCTCTTTGAATGAATTTAGATTTGTCACTAAGCTCGAGGAAACTGCTGTGCCGTTGCTCTTGCCACCATGAGTTAGGTGATGGATCCATAGATTCTGTGAGCTGTCAGAAACAACTAGCCATTCGGGGAGCAGGACTGCGTGTCTGGGGCCGACAGGAGAAAACATAGTCTCCACTGTGTTGCCCATAGAATCACAGAGTTCTACAGGAAAGCCTTCTGACCGACTTTCTCGCTGTGGTTTCGCCATTGCTGTCGGTGCCGTATAAGCACTGCTTGTGTCGGGTAGACGATGAGGCCCATCCTGGTGTTGCAGCTGATGCAAGGCGCCACACCGGTCATCTTGCCATAGAAATGTTGGCGGCAGCGCTGCTGTAACGTGTGGCACAACGGCACAGAACGCTTTTCCGGAAACAAGAAAGCGAGGTCCTCGAAAACGTCGAACAATGCGGCAGCTACCATGATTGCGCATGAAGGAGACTTCAGTTGCCTGCTGGTCGGGACAGAATGTGCCCGCCGCTGCTACTGTGTTCTCCCCGTAGGCGCAACACAAGCTATGGCGGCGCAGCGATAGTATGAAAATAGATTTTTCCGCGGCTGCTGCAAGCTGTTCTCCACTGATAGCCCATGCCAATGCCCGGGGCTCAGAGTCCCCCAAATTAAGAGAAGCTGCAACTTCTCCGCATGCATGGAATAGAACAAGAAGAGTTCCAGCAACTGCGCCATTTTGGAGTGACTTGGCTCCAGCATTTTGCCTTCCCCCGAGAAAAGAACTTCGGGAAGATGATACTTGTGAAACAGGAAGGCCAAATAGTGCTGCGACTGTCCCTGAAGGGTTCCACTCGGCAGCTGCACACGATGAAAGCCCTGTGTCTAGGTTATGAAAGGACGCTTCTTCGTCAGCGGACAGCAGCAGGGCGTGCCCACTTGAGTAACAAACTAGAACAGGCCGAACGGCCCAAGACCCTGGTTGCCAGGCAACAGCTGCAGGAATCGCAAAAGAAACAGCCTCCTGCTATTACAGGTAGCATGAAACTCTATGAAAGGACTCTTAGAGGACTACGAAATGACCGGCTAACCCGTGATGCGCTCTCGCTTAGTGGCCTCCGTCCTTGGAGTTATCTTTCGCATGTAAATTCCCCTCGAGTCATGCAGTTGTAATTCCCCTTCGCTCGTTGCTATGATAAACCCGGTGCCATTGAAAAGAGCAGCGAAACAAGAGCAGGACTTCCGGAGATCGCGTGACCAGAGGCGCAATCCATCAGCTGTTACACTGAGCAGACGACCGTCACCATGTAATCCGCAGAGTGACACCTGCGATGGAGATTTGGAGGGGTGAACCCACTGAATGCCCACTAACTCTCCAGAGCACCCAAGGTAAAATGTGGAGCGCTGGTGCCAGTCTTCCCTAGTTTCTTCCCAAACACATACGTTCCCAGCTGCATCTGCCGTTGCTAAAAGGCCATTTGTGACGTCTGCACACACGCAGCACACGGGACCCTGAAGCAACGAACGCATGACAGGAAAAATATGGTGCACATCAACATAAGTTGGAAAGCGGCACTGAACTCTTTACAGCTATGCCCTGCCGGCCTCTGTAAACTGAGGTCTTGAACTTACAGCATGCCCATTGTGACATTGGATGTGGTATGTGCCCCCATCTTGTTGATGAACATGATCAAAATTTCTGGAGCTTTGTGCATTGGGAGAGGTGGAAATTTGTGTGGCTTGCAGAGCTTTTAGGGCTCCGCAGTCGCTCCCGAGAAGTAGCCATTCATCCCGCCAAACAGCGCAGCGGGTTGACGATAGTGGGAGCGATATATCAAGAAGGCAGCGCATTACAGATTCCATAGACTGAATATGCAGGATTTACGGGCCTAAATACTTGACGAGACAGCTCTACAAATCAGGCCGTCAGCTGCACATCTACTGCAGTCCGACCACTTCACCTTTCACTTTCTGCTGTTAAGGGTAATAAATAATATAAAAAGCAAAGCTGGAAGCTCAGAAAAGAAGGCTGACTTCTTTTCGGCAGTGGCCACCAGCCAAGTTAACGATGTGCCTCTGGGGCTGTGATGGTCCAACTACCACAGGCCCGGCGTGAGATCTTGACCTCAAAGTCCCCTCCTGGTGAAGTAACTATTGAAATATTCTTTAAATAGATGAGAGTTTACTGGAAAACCTGAAACATACAATTTTGGGACCATAATAGCCGGAATAACGGACAAAAAGGAACTGATGCTGCCCCCATTTCAGTGCATTCATACACTGCTCTCATTTCAGTGCGGACCCCGTAACACCGTTGCATGTTGCAGACCGCAGCATTTACGTGAAAAAAAGAAATAATTGGAGACTGACAAAAATTTGGCTTGTTTTTCACAAATCAGAGTTCTTCCGTTTGAACGTGTGGGCTGCCTTTCAATCTCAGGGGCTTGCCTTCGGCCTCTGCGCTCAAACTGAAATATTGAACCTTATGCCACCACAGTTTCAAACCCTCAATGGCAGGTGCTAGTTTCCGTGGGGGAATTAGCCCGCTAGGGAGCTTTCCCCCGAAATGTTCCCGTGGAGTGACCCTTCTGCATGGTGAGCTCGAGCAGATAAAGGCGGTCGCTGCGGGACTGCCAACCGATGTAGATCATCAGAAGGAAATCGAGATGCAAAAAATGAAACAAAAACAGAAAGAAGCTGCAGAACGGGTCTCAAAATGGCATAATCTGCTCCAGAATGCACGGGAACGAAAGTTGGCTGAGCAGCGGCTGCAGGAGCAACGGCGCGAGCAGGAATTGCTAGCGCAAAATCAGGAGGAAGAGAGACAACGGCAACTGCAGGAAGAAGAAGAAATTCAGAGGGCCAAAATCGCGATCATGCAAAGGGATGAGAAGTTTAGAACTTTTCTTCGCGCACAGATGATAGCGGATACAATCGCCGGGCTACGAGAACAGCAAGAGTGGCTGAACCAAAAGAATAATCTAGAAAAAATGCGCCAGTTTGACTTACTCGAGGAGCAGAAGATACTGGAGGAGCGCCTGAGGCAGAGAGAGGCGCGTGACAAGGAAAAACAGCAGGCGAAAGTAATGCTTGCACGGGCCACTCTTAAACAACAGATTCAAGAGAGAGAGAAACAGAAAGAGCAGGAGATTATGAAAGCAGCCACTGAAGCTGAAACAAGCAAAAAGTGCCTACAAGAACTTCAACAAGCAGAATATGAGACAGAAAAGGCAAAGCGAGAGGAGGTATTGAGCGACCTGGGTGCTTCCTCACGCAATTCCTCCACACTACCAAGACTTCCAGGCATTGCAAGTGCCTTTTAACGAAAAAAACTGCTATATACTTTGATGCGTGCACTGGCATCCATTTGTTGTATTCGGTAGAGCTATTGCTTGCCCTCCCATCTGTGTCGAGAGATGCGCTTGATGGTGGTACTTTTTCAGTCTCGGCGGCTCTACAGGGAACTGGTGAAGGAGAATGAAGAACTTCAAGAAAGACGCAGGGCAGCAGAGATGCAGCAGAAAGCCGAAGAGGCAGCAGCCTTCGCTTGCGCAGCGAGGCTTCGGGAAAGAGAGGAAGCGATACGAAAGAGACAAGAGGAGGTCAGGGCTTGGGCGTTGGAAAGGAGCGAACGGCTCACAGCTCAAGGAGCGGCGGTGATTGCAGCTACCCAGGTATTCATCTCATATGCCTCCATGCTTTGAAATCCGGTGTGTCACGCAGTGATATCTTCATGCATGTAACATAATTTGTTTAAGAGTGTCCGATTTCCGAGTTTCTTTCGCGACTTATTGTCCTGTTCAGGCAGAGGAAGCTCGGCGTCTAGAGATTCAGTGCGAGCAGTGGATGGCCCAGGTAAGGCAGGCAGAAGAGGCGAAGCAGCACAAGAAGGCAGCGTCGCTGCGGCATCTGATGAAAAGTTCAGAGGAGCAGATCGAGGCAAAACGTCAGGAAAAAAGGCAAAAGGAAAAGGAGGATGCAGCATACGTGGAATCGCTTCGCAAGGCTGCAGCCATGGCCCAGGAGAAAGAGGAGCGGGAATATCAAGAGCAGCGCAGAAACCGCTTGAAAGTGAGACACGAACAAGAGCGTCAAGCACAAGAGAAGGAACAATTAAGGAGACAGCAACGAGAACTTAGTCTGGCAGAAGACATGAAGGCAAACGAAAAGTTACGTGAGGTAGACCTAATGGTGGAGCGTTTCGCTGAGGACAGCATTGCAGCGGCAAAGGCAGCTGGTACAGACTGGAGCATATTGGAAATGGCTAGAAGAAGGCTGCGACGTCAAAGTAGCCTGAGTGAACCACATAGCGAACAAAAGGACGATAGCTCCATAGCGAGTCCTCGAACACAGATTTTTTGGTAATCAAATTGCTGGCTGCGCCCGTCAAAACAGCGACAATCCTGTGGAAGCGAACATTAAGGCCACACTGTGGGACAGCTGTATGCTTGCATTCGAAGGGGCCACACATCTCAAGCAATCCAAACGGGTCTCATTTGACTACTCATTGCTCCAGATGAAAAGCTAACCTACAAAAGGATGAAAGCGCTGCTATTTCACGAAGCCATTCCGCAATAAAACCAGCGCTTTGCGCGTGGAGAAAAGCCAGCACATTGGTGCCGCTTTCACTGCTTGATCTTTTGCGCACCTACGTTCATCAAAAACTGTTTTCCAATAGTGCACATCTGCTGTTTACGCTGGCATCGTTTCTGTCCCTGTGTTTTACATGGAGTTGCAATCCGATGCAACCACTGATGATTCTTTTCGCCATGGAATTCTGTCGCTTCATTCAAGAGGGCTGCGGTGCTGTGGTTAACTACCATTCTATGGGGAACTATGCTTTTGGCACAAATATTAAGGAACGTATACTCCCTATTATTGTCTGCCAAGCATATGCGATAGCGCAAGCCGCAGCCAACCAGCCGCCCTCCATGAGGCATTGCTTGAGCTCCCATATGGGTTGCCAGTGACCCTGCTGGTGTGCCACCAACAGGCCTAGCAGTACTTCAACCCCTAGCCTGAGACACGCCGCATTGGTATCACTACTAGAAAACACAGCCTGATACAAACGCTGCCACTGTTACGACTACGGTGCACCGTAGAAATCCTGCACACAGCCCTAGACGCCTACTGCATACACGAAGTTGTACGTGTAGGGTGACTTACGGTGGGCAAGACAATTGCTCGTATTGTTCTTCTCTACTGCGAGGGTAAAACAGGATGCAGAAGAGAAGGAAACAGTACTGATCGCACAATGGTTTCGGCCAGCTCTGCGGACTCCACAGCGGGAAAGGCAAGCCTCTCGCTTGTATGACTGGGTCGAACACGCATTTGAAATGTTTTATTTTTCGACCTTGTTTTAAAAGCTTGTAGCATGAACAAGGGACTTCAGGCTAGGGGCTGAAGCACTGCTAGGCCTGTTGGTGGCACACCAACAGGGTCACTGGCAACCCTCGTGTCTATATCTACGAAGCTTCTGGCTGAAATACAGCCCAACGAATTCTTTGCGCTGAAGAAATTTACTTCAAAGTAATGTTTTGGCTGTTCTAAGGTGGTTCATGTGAACTCGGGTAAACAGCACCACAAATCGGAGACACGAAAGGGGGACACCGCTGCTCCACGACCCCGCTGCCAGGCCGGTATTCTTCAGCATAGGGGTTTGCCCTAACTTCTAGAATTTTCTTCATAGCGCCACTTAGCCTGGTTTTATTTGTCTTCTGGGGGCTTAACCGGGCGCGCCGCTGAACATCGTATCCTGAAGCGATGCCAATGCCACACATGGCTCCGCCAACTCTGCCACAAGACCATCTGCAACCGCAGCTAATGCAGCAGTTGCGAAGAAATTTGAACAGACTTAGCGACGCTAATAGGGCCATTCGGCTCCAAGGGATCAATTCCATTCTCTTCACGTACACGGAGGAAGCTGCAAAACGAGCGCCGGAAGGTGGTAACGTTGTTACAGCGGATGTGAGGGACAAGGCAGCCTTAAACAAAAAGAACAATGCGAGTTGCTGCTTTGCTGAAGCATTTTTGTCCAATATATACTCATTAGTGGCTGGGCTATGCGCTGATGGGGAGTCTGAGTCTAGTCGAGAGGCTGCATTACAGCTCCTCCAGCTTGTAGTGAAAATGTTTCTGTCAAGGGAGGAAGTAATAGCAATATGCACGGGCATAAGGAGGTGTAGCATCAAAAATCAATTGAAGGGATTGGACTACACTGACTGCGCGGCGAGTGGAACCTGTTACAACACTAAAGATGGCAGGTGTCATAGCAGCAGCTCCGGACCTACTAACACAGAAGCGGCAAAACCATTAGTTCTAGTTTTATCAGATAGGCTTAAAGAAGCCTCAGGTCAAGCAGAAACGAGCGAAGAGCTACGTTTCACAGTCATGAAGTTCTTACAGGACCTGTTGGTAGACTATGCGACAGACCTTCCTGTGCCAGAGAGCAACGCGCAGAACCCTGAGCCACAAGAGCAACTAATCATGAAGAATTCAGATGGTTGGAACGCAACAGATTTCGCAGACAGTTTGCTGGCGGCAGTTGCGGGTGCTTTACGAGACCAAAGGCCGACCAATGCCGTCGAGGCTTGCAGGCTTCTAGCTGCAGTATGCCAGAAAGTACGAGCATCAGTACTTTTACAGGTGAGGCGCCACAATGAATGGCATGCTTTTCTTTACAATCGCTTTCTTCTCTTGTTGCTGCAGTGGTGTTCTGCTTTGACGCCAGCGGAGCAAGCCCTTGTCAACACGCCCGATATGCTGTTCTGTTAGCAACCTGCCTGCAGAGCAGCAAGCCGCTGCTGGAGCGGCTTCTCAGTTGCCTTGCCAGACCACAGAGGGCTGTGAGATGGGTACGGAGTAATGTAATGCGCATGTTCGAATCATGACAAACTTTTCAATCAGCAAGTTAAACGGGGAACTTCTTATGACTCCTTGGTCGAGAAGAACCTCACGACTAATCGTAGTTAGAGAAGATGCTGGCTACAAACATCGAAATAAGAACAATAACAAGGCAGCGAACGTCGCTTGAAGTGCTCGGAGAAAGCGTTGTGCTCATTAAGAGCGCCGTATGCTGGTGTGTCTGCCTCGCAGCAAGCAACCGAAGCCTATGATGCCTTGCTAGGAGCTATTTCATCCCCTGCAGCTGTAGCCGAGGATGCCGGTTCTCGTGCTGCGAGCCACATATGCTCAGCAGCTGCGGCAATTAGGCCCCTTTTGCTGCAGGAAGCAGCAGTACAGAATAAGTAGGCGTTGAACGTACTCGCTGTAGCGTTCGTAACAACCCTGAGGACGTGTCTGATTTGTGAGCACAGTTGCATACCACTGTTTCTGCACCTGCTATTGCAGGGTTCGAATGGGGCGAATGTTGAAGCGCCTGCTGCAGCAAATGTCTCCGCGGGTTTTACTGAGACCGAAAGTGCTGCCACAGCTGCTGCAACTTGTGTTGCTTTTGATGGGGGACACCAACCAAGAAGTGGCAGCAGAAGCTGAGAAAGCACTACTTGTGAGGCTGAACTTTCTTACTAGAGAATGTCTTCACTGGTCATCAGGAATTTTGAGAGGCCCAGTAGAAACCTTCGTATCCTTATACTACTGGGCACAATTTCAGGCATGTGGACGCTGCAGAGTGTTGCTCCTCGGTGCACCCTCCTATTTCGAAGGAGACAACAGAAACGGCAATGGAGACACAAGCAAAAGAAATCACTGCAGCAGAGTCTATGCAACGAACACCCAGAAACTTCCAGTAGCGATACAAACAGCAATGAAGACTCTTCAGAGGTGCACCTCTTCCGTTCACTCGCCTCACAGTGCACTGCACGTTCTGAATATTTGATTCCTCAATATAGAGAATTCTGCAGTGCTCGCAGAGTCTTTTGACAAAAGTTCTCATACTCTCCCTGCTGCTCGAATACTTTAGATAGGGCTTCTGATGTCCCCTACTGCCGTAGGAAGAGGACGACGAAGAGCCTTGCAATGCTTTAGGCCCGATATCAGCCGCCTCCGTTGCAGATGCTGGGACCCTTCTACGTGACGAAGCGGTGACGCAGCCTACAGAAATGGTGACGGAATTGGCTGGGCTACACTTGAAGGAGTTGATGGCTGATGTAGGCAATGCGATGCGTTTGCACGTGCTGCATGGGACGTTCGGTTGAGGGTCCTCACTCCGTACCTTTTCGCTTACTGGTGTTAATGTTGGTTGTTAGTTCAATTACCACTCGTTTGGAATTTCTCAGATATGTTTTGACTCATGCTCGTTTTGCAGCTGCTACCGCGCCTAACAAGCTGGTCAGCCAATGAGCGACTTGCCTCCTTGAGGTCTCTTGCTGCTCTACTGCCTATAAGCGGCTTTCAGTTGCTGCAGGAGCTGCCACACATGCTTCTGCAGCTTTATGGAACCTGCGTTGCAGCCGAAGGGAAACTTTCACTTGGCCAACAGGGGCGACAGCAGCAGCAGGAACAGTGCTCTCCCCTGCTGCTGCTTGTACAGCACGCCGTACTGAGGGAGCTCAGAAACCAAGACTCAGACGTGTCAAGCGGCAACCACACAACAGAAGAGTGGCACCGTGGAGGTCTGCAAGAGCTGGGAGCTTGCAGCTCTCTTTGTTGCTCGCTTGAAGCGGTCGAGCTTGTTCTGCAGTGCACAGGGAAGGTGGCGCTGCTGGTCCCACCTTGCTGTTGGCTGCCTATAATTGCTACTCATTTGGGCCTACAACAAGACGTACAAGTGTACATAAGCAGAAAACAAGATGCACTGACTGCTGCAACAATGGATATTGTGGCAGACCAACGAGCCACCAGGCCGCTTGATGAGATGCAAGCTGAAAAAGCGTTTCTAGGAAGATTTGATGGAGGTTATAAGTACGTAGTGGATACAGTTTTACATTCAGAAAAGCGGCTACGCGGGAAACAGAAGCTGACAAAGCCAGCTGCTTCTGGAACCTCGTCCGTGTGTTCGTTCGAAGCAAGGAAACAGGCTCTGCTACTGCTAGCACGCCTCCTGCGGGGGTTAAAGCCACATTATATGCAGCAGAATCAGCCGCGACAGAATCACCAGGGAGATGCGACAAGCGCTTTCTGCGGGGTGTACGGACTATGCAAAGAAGAAGTTTGGCTGCTGGTGCGGGTCATAGAGCACGTGCAAGGCACCAAGAGCGGCAAAGCTCCTAACAGAGCAGCAGCAACAACAGCAGTGGATGATGACAGTGACAAAGTAACGCCCTTCTTAGCTGCTCCTCTGCTGCAGCTGCTACGCGCAGCAGGAAGTCTCTGCCAGCTAGAGGCCAGAAATCTGTTCGCAGCAGCTTTGCTGCAGCAGATCGACCCTCGGAGTAACCAGGAAATTGCGAAAGCTGTGGTATAGCGCCTTTCCCACTCCAGGATCTTCTTTCAAGGACACAACAGCATCAGTCTTAGTGTCGAGATAAAACTGCGATTTTAACGTGTAGTATCCTTTGCCGAGTGCACCGTGAATGTAACTCTTCATTCTATGAGGCACTATAGTGCTCATGTCACACTGTGGCGTTTCTTGGCAGGTGGCACGAGTCTGCCAGTGTACTGGCAAAAGACCCCTGGCCCTGTATCTTGAATTCCTTGACGAGTTCGCGCGGAACGAATTGGAAAGTGACAGTGCCAACTGCAAATGTGGTGATCATGCTATTGCTATAGCAGATTCTGGTGACGATTTGCAAACTCCTTGGACTGCCAGTGATCCACGGAGGCTGCTGTTGCTTCGCGCACTTCATGGGGCTCAGGAAGCAGCAGATGCTGAACAGACATCGTTTAGCTCTACATGCTTCAAAGTAGAACGCCTAGTCAAGGTACGAGAGTGACGATGCATACGACGTCTATGGCATTCTCTTCACCGAGGCACTTTGCTTTATCGAGACGACAGCTTGATCTATGCTTTCAAGCTGCTGATGTAGATACTAAGATCTATGCTTTCACGCTGTTGATGTAGATACTACGGAGACAAAGCAATATTCAGGAAGCAACAGCTGCAGTGCGAGGCGACGTCCTCCTAGCCTGCCTAGCGCTGTTTTCTCTCCCGTTCTTCATACCGCATGCACGGTAAGCTGCTTTCAGCTGCCCTGGCCTGAGAAGCTCTTTTGCCTTTGGCTTCACTTAACTCATCGTGTAATTCCATGCCAAGCGTGCGTTTCTTCAGGCCGTACGGGAGCTGGGTACTTGAGCATGTCCTTGTTCCAAATCTCCGCTGGCGGCCCGGGGAAGCCAATGCGAAGCTGCGGAAGGTAGATGCGCACACAAATATTCAGTAGCAGAACCAATCACATACCTGTGTCAATGGCTGGGACAAATGCACACACAGGGCTGGTTGTGGTATGGTAAGTTGCTCAGGTAGCTTTGCTATGCGTTTCACGAATAATCCCTACTCTCTCAGCAGAAACTACACCTGATATATCCGAAGCTCACAGGAATGGTGACAGAACAATAAAGAAATTAGAAGACGGGTATCTCAGTGAAGTTGAAGCTGTTGATGGAGCTCAAAGGCAGAACGGACAATCTAATGAAAGCACACAGCAGAATAATGCAGCTTCACAAGAACTACCTCACGTTAGGCAAGTCATGGCGGCAGTGTCTCTGCTTTCGCCCTTGTTGGTCTCTTGTATGGATGATGACTGGAATGCTGACGTACGCTCGGTTGCAGTTGGTGTAGTGCGTCAGTTGTTCTTGGACCTCCACGTGAGTTTGCTCAGTTTCGACTTAAATCGCTCAAGTCGCTTACCCCCCTTTTTACATTGTTGAGAACACTATCTCTGAAAACGCCATCTTCTAATGCTGTGACCGCAAGCCTTTAAGAATTCACACAGCGACTGCTCTTTTGCATTACACCACTAAACTACGACTGATCATATTTTTTGTTGTTGTGCAGGGGGACAAGGAACAACACGAGGCTCTGCGACAACTCGCGTCAACTATTGCAAATCCTCTGCAGCAGCGGCTTGATGATGCTCGTGACGACGTTCGCCTTGCTGCTGCCACTGCTTTAGAGGCATTATTAGAACAGCGCCCCTTCCTCATTCATAGGTCTAGCGCCATCGAAATTTGCCGGCGCCTATGCATCTGCTTAGATGACCGGAGTGCAGCTCTAGCAAGTGCAGCAGAAGCAGCTCTTTTAGCGGGCGCGGAAGAGCTGGAACCTCTTCTTCTAGAGGTAAGCAGTGGCGTTTTCGTGAGTTTTCAGACAAGTTTATCGTATTGGAAAACGTGAAAAATGCTAATTCTGCAGGCAGCTTCTTGAGGAAGTCTAACACGCCTCTGGTTGAATTGCGTCGGCCGTCACGCTTGAGATAGTTTCTTAAGCTTAATTATGCCACCTTTTGCAGGAGATACAAACAGCGGAATCCAGCTGTCTCTATCCCGAAAGATATAAAGCGCTTGGCCGGAAGTTGTTGAAGCTGCAGCAACTTCAGCACCATCCAGCTGATCGTCAGCCCTTAGCTGCCTAAACCTACCAGGCAGAACTGTGCACTACTGTGCAGGAAGCCGAATCAGTGGCTGGAGATCAGCCTTCAGTAAGAGTTGCTTACACATTCAGTTTTGCTCTACGGAGAGACACTCACATTTGCAAAAAAGGCTCAATTACTGCTCGAATTGAGTTCGAACATTGGCCTCACCACATGAAGGTCTCATGAGAAGAATGTGCCGAATTAACATGGCGTATAAGAGCTGGAGCCCGGTGTCTAAGGAAAAGCATGAAGTGAGTATTTCAGAACAGTATCTCTCCTTCAAGTTCGAAGCCTCGTGATGGTGATATCCCGGTGTGGAGTGAATCTGTAGAGCGAAAATAGTGCTATCTCTATCTGTCCCCGATTTCTCCAACTTGCCGCCATGTAGAGCTCAAAACTGAACAAGTAAATATAACGAGTCTTCCAAAGAGGAAACTCTTGGTCCATAGTGTGCTGGAACCTGCCGGGATGCCAATGTGATTAAGTAGAGCTAGCTCTCTGGAGGTATCCTAAAAAAACCTCTTTAGAAAAACGCACAGCTGCTTGGCAAGCCTAAGTAAGGCATTCATCGCCGAAAGGAGCCACTGATATCAATGACTCTGCGGAGAAACTAGTGGTCAGCTTCTCAAGCGCTTCTGTCCCGTGCATCGCTCGTAGACACACGGATGAGTGAGTCTACAACTGTTATTTTCTTCTCTGCACACGTAAAGCCTCATTCCGCTATTGTCTTCTTGAATCACATCCTCGATATAGCGTGACTCCAAACTAGATAACGCTTCGACTCACTTGCTTCTCCTCATGCATAATTTCCAGTTCGGTTGCAAGCTGCCCTTAGATGACGTTTAGCAATCTGTGCATTCGCATGGGTTATCTGACTTGTTTATATGAATTATTTGTGCCCAAAATGATGCAGTGTCTTCTTAACACGTACACAAGCTCGCCATCTACTACCATTAGGTTTCCGCTTTGCTCTCTTACCCAGGCTGCTTGAGAGTGCTACGGTAGAGGTGAATCTTTCAGCGTAGCAGGCACAGGTGTTGAAATTGATGTGAATGAAACAAGCATGCAGTATAAGAGGTTCCTGCTTTCCTAGAGAACCCTTAAAATATTACTACTTGGCGCAAAGTTGCTACTCGCCACAAACGTATGATGGTAACTCCAGGCACTAATAGTGCAGGTTAGGCAAATTCTCCGCTTCTGCCTGTCAGGCTTTCGGTCTAAAAATGGCCCTGCCTTATGCATCTTTGCAGATAGTTCTTGGCATATGGCAGTGGCTAAACCATAAAAAATAGTACAGGAAGGCGTTGCTCAAGGCCGACTACGCATTCAGCGTACGTTAGCAATTGCTGAGAGTTGAGGGGTGACAATGCATGTGGCATGAGCCTGGCAGCCTTTTTGAGTAAACGGTATTAAGCAAATTGGGTTAAGGCTCCATCTGAAGCACATGGCGAGCGAAGAAGTCGCCTGTTAAACTGCCCCGAGAACAAAGTGCTGAGAGTGATGGGAAACCTGTCAGAACCTGCAAGCGCAACTCAGTACTGAGCACTCTTGCAGTACATATTTGCGTATATTTGATACTCTCTAAGCAACACTTGTGCGCGTTAACGCCGCTGAACAACAACTATGGAGAATGCCAAACCTTTGAAAGTTGCAGCTGAGCGCCAACGTAGAGGCGTACCTCTAGGCAGTGACTCAACTCATCTTCCGTCATAGCTTCCCCTTTCTGCATGGATACAGATTAAAAGAAAGTTGACAAGTTTAATTAAGGTTAAACGATAGGCACATGCCTTAAGCATGAGTAGATGGGGATACTGATGCCTTCTTACCGTCAGGAGAAGCTTTGTCAAGGCTTCCGGTGACATTTCTTCTCCATCTCGTCCTCTGCTGATCTGCTTGAACGCGGTGACTACATCAGAGTACTGAAACGATTGAGAAGCCCGTTGGTTGAGGTACAGTTCAAGGAAGCGCTCAAATGAAATTCCGTCGGACTCTGTAGCTTCTCTGTTACTATCCGTTGAATGTGCGTTTGCAGATAGACGGTGCATGACTCCCACTGTACCTCGGCACTCGCTGAAAATATTATTAAGCTCCAGCTGTGTGGGCGCTTCACCCAGGGCACAGAGAAGGTTTGGGAGCTCGCCGATCGGCACTGTACCTCCAAGTCGTCTGCTGCGTGTTGTGTGTTCACCTTGGCTGCGTAGCTGAGAGTAGTAAAATAGTTCCTTGGCTGCACGATAGAAATTACCCTGAATGATAGAGCGCAGCCAGAGAGTTGCTGGGGCCTGAGTTGTGAGTACTAAGCACCTGCGGTGACTTGTAGTAATGCGAGACTTCGTTTAGTCAGCTCCATGAAAAGGTAGAGCAAGGCATATCCCATCAAACGAGAGCTCACAGTGCGTCCTCCAGGAAAACGCTCCAGGATTGATTCCTGTCCAGGCGGTCCTGTGGGAGCAGCACACGCTCTCACTGAAACTGGAGGGGGAAAACGGGAACTGTAACTGCTTGACGCTACAGTCCTTTCGGGCATTACCTCGTTGAAATGCTCTATCTACTGCTAAGTGATTTACACTCCACTGGAGGACCGTGAAGTCGCTGCCTCCACAAGTAAAAACGGTGGTGCATCCACCGCGTGGAGGAGACGCGGCTAAAGCTACGATTTGCCCCGCATGCGCCGCCACACAGACACTCTTGAATGGGTTGCTGCAAGCACGCAAGAGGCATGAAATGGCTACTTTTAATTTTCACGAGGTACTGAGCCCGGTGCATCGTAAAAAGTCGCAGTCTGAACAAGCAGAAACTCTTGAGAACATCAAGGATTACCCAGGAAATGTACACCCAAACTGACCCGTCCAGTGGCAGCTGGTGGATGCCTAGCAGTTGCTCCTTGCACGCACCCAGAAGAACTGGACTGTGAATAGCAGCCATAAGCTAGTCCGACGTTTTATCTTTTAGCCCCAAAGTGAAAGTTCTGGTTACCTAGCTTTTGGTTACCAAGAAGCTAAAAAACCTTCTTTGGCAAGAGCAACTTTATAGCAAGAAGAATACTGCTGGTTGGTTTACCCAAATCGGCTTCTTGTTCCTGCACTTTGGGTCCAATCTTGCATCAGAGCCAACCTCAGGACGCCCCCGTTCCCCATTGCAACAGAGGCAGTCTAAACATCAGCATTAGCAGCCGAACGCCCCCACTTGATGGCGAGTCTACCTCTCAAACACTGCCTTGAATATGCTTGTCAAACATTTTTTCGGAGATAATATCAACCATATGTGGCTGCCTCTGGAGCGGCTTCCCTACCTTCACGCAAGCCATAGAGTTTGCGCTCCACACTGTCGCCTTGGCTTCCGTTGAATAAACAAGGACCTCGGTATCCGTTTCTCCAGACTGAGTAGCCACAAGACGTCACAACCTCTAACAAATCAGGGGAAAAATTGTTAGCTAGGAATGGTGGTAGGCAGTGGGCTCAAGGTATTCATGTGCAGGCTGCGCCTTCTTTAAGAACCGTGGTTTTCTCACAGGAGAAGGCAGTGCCAAACAGCCAGCAGGAAAAGCGCGCTGTTGAACTACACAGGACCAACGTTTTAGGAGACCTAAAGGCATGAGCCGCATGATTCTTATTTCTAGTGACGCGCAAAGGCAAAAACAACACTGACACTATCGGTGTGCAGCTACAGACAGGAATCCAGGAACCGTGTTACGCATATTCTTTGCACTGGTAGCCGTCTAGAGATTTTTATCAAGCTCTTTGGAAGAAGAACTCGTTATAGACGTCACCTGTGTGCTCAAATGAATTCGGAACATCATATTCGATAAGAACGCGGTCTTCGCCAACGCTAAAAAGGCGCGGATAGCCCTGACTGTAAAGGTGAGGAGATGCCGTCGGAAGAGGCTGTTGGGCTGGCCGCGATGTGAAAGACTGCACTCCACCCACAAGAGCGGCTGTTGTTGGCCCGCCGGCAGCCGGCTGTTGAATCTGCATGACTGTAGGCTCTCCTTGGGCATGTGCGAAAGAAAGGCCGCAGATCCTTCGATAGTGTGAGCAATGCTTCCCTGAAATGGCAGTGCTGCAGGTCTCAAACGGTTTTTACATTTGCCGACAAAGCTGTTCTGCATCAGATACTTCTCTGTTGCGCGCATAACCCAGGCATCGAAGCCACAAATTATGATGGAAGAGGCTTCATCTTGCTAGCACCAGTGCTTGATAAAAATTGCTCTGTGAAAAAGGTAGCTGCGAGCAGCTATATTGTTAAGTAGCCTGTAAGTGGGACTTATTAACGAAATCACTTGTAGCTGCGAACTAGGGGACTACGTATGCGGTGACCTGCAAATGTCCACTCCTCGGGATACTGCGGATTTCCCATGCGGCAGTCGTAACTGTACAGACAAAGCCACCACGGGAAGTAATGAAAGTGACAAAGTGGGATTGTCCTTCGCAATCTGTAATTCGCTGAAAATTGCAAGCTCCGGCGAATAGCTCATTCGGCTTACCGAAACAGGCAAACGATATTGTCCGCATAGGCAACAGCGAGATGAGCCGAATCTTCACTAAATGTACACTGTACCGAAACAAAAAAAGCACCAGACGCTTTTGTGCCAATTGTTTCGGATGCGCCGTAAACGTACAAGACATCTCTTCAATATCGAAAAAAAAGCGAGTTGAGAAAACAGCTTACATGCGTGACTGCTTCACGGCTTTCCCTTGTGTTAAATAATTCAACAATCCAGTGTTTCGCTCCGCCAAAACCTTGTGAAGACCCATTCAGGTCTTCTGGAATTTTAAATTCACAGATCTTCAAGGTTCCATTGCTGAAACCAATGGCCAAAAAAGTTCCATTAGGGCTAAATGCTGCCGCCTGCTCATGTAAGCCACGACAAAACTGTAACTCTTTGAAGTGTTAGCATTCTTGGACTTCAGGGAATACCGAAGACAAAAACTGCAGATTAAATGGAGCTGCTCTCCGAACCACAGGAATGACCATAGTATAAACTGACAGTTGGAGATAATCTGTCAAACCAAACGTTGCCGAGCACTGCATGGTTGCCAGTATTCCAGAGCCTCATAAAACCTGAGAGTAGCATCCTTGGAGAACACTCGTCGAAGTATACAAGCTTAGTATACAGTGTGCACTGCTGTGTACACTGAGGATTGAGCCTGAGGGTTGTGACATGCGGCAGCATGATACCAGGGCCTATTTTTGTGAGAGGAGAGTACTTTACCTGTGAGTCCAGCTACAGCGAGGATTGGCTTAAAAGGGTGGAATACTAGCGCAGTGGGTGCAGCGTCAAGCCCCTCAAATACAGTAATGACCCTGAGAAAGAACAGGAGCCAGCAAATGAACCGGAGTGGAGTATAATAATGCTGGTATTGAGCTATGTGGGAATAAAACAAACGAAAACGTTGCTTATGAGGCTACTGGCTTTTCTCACGCTTCCTTCAAACATTGCTCATCTTCCCGGGAAAGGCCGGCAGGGATTATTTCTAGGATTCTTGCTTTTGACGTTGAAACAACAAAAGGTGGTAGGCGTTTCGCATCGTCCATCCACTCGTGCGAAAGTTTTGCTGAATTCTTTGAGGGGGTAGCCTGACCTTCTAAGTGTGGGAATGCTGAGCCTATATACATGGAGAGGAGCAGATACTTAGTTTATTGCCTCTAAAAGGTGGTTCTATTTTATACTGAAAAGCTATGCGCGTGTAGGAATCTGAGGAAAGCAAGAGACAAAGCCCAAATACAAATACACTCAGACGGATGCACGCAGTACGGCTTCCAGTTAGTACTGTGCTCGCGTACTGTTATTTGATGCCGCAGTGCCCATGAAGGATACACACTTTATTTGTCCCTGAGAAGCCAGTTAAAATTGCCAACTCGCTTCAAAAGGTGAAAATATTTCCGAGATTTGAACGATGAGCAAATAGTCCATTGAAAAAAAGTTCCACGGTTTTGTGCGCGGCGAGCTGTTCTTTGACTGGACTCACAGCATCCAGATCTTCGAAGCACCTGACAAGTCGAAGCTGCACGTCATAGAAACTGAACAGAACGTCACAATGCACACTCCCCATGAGGAGCGAGATTTGTTCTTGTTCTGGCAGCAAATAATCTGGAAACCAATGAGTCCTTTGTTGGAATGCACTGTGCTCCTTACGTTTTGGCTTTGGCCTACCAAACTGTTCCATCAGCGAAGCCTGCAACGATTAAACGGTCTTGAACTGTTTGTAAGCAAGTGACGCATGAGTCTCGCAACCTAAGGATTGACACTGCCCGGCGCTCATCAGGCCTGCTAAGCCTGCGACAAACGGCACAGATGCACATCACCCAACGCTAATATTCAACTGCATGGGATAGTGTGGTGGGGAGCCAGCGCATCTTTTAAATTCATGGCGAAGCAACAGAGAAACAGTTTGTCTTCTCTCCCACCACAAAAATGTAACCGCTGGTCACTAGGCCTTCTGCAGCGCAGAAGCCCTCAGTCTTAGATGCATACCCGTCAAGAATAAGACTCAGGTTCCACATTACCACGTCCCCATCCGTTGTGCCTGCGGGCTCCACATAGCCATAAAGGCATATGTAGAGTCGCTATCGGGATTTAAAGCCTGCATTCACAGCCTTACGTGCTTGATGCTTAGAAGCGGTTTGGCATATCACAACCATTTCTTCAAGAAAGGAAGATACACACCAGAGAGAGCCTTCGTAGAGCGTGGAACAAAGGCAGACGTCGTTATATCTCCAATTTTCTGTTTAAACGTTCTCGACTGAAGCGCGGGGGAATAGAAGTGGAAAGATACGTCCTCGCAGTGCCAATACCAAAACAAAACACGGCGCCTCCCGCTGGTCAGTAACTCGTTCACATCCCATGGATTAAAACGAATTTCGTGCTGCGCATTCGCAGAGTAAAGGCGGTCACTGAGAAGCAAATATGACGTTCTGTGCAGCTTCGTGGACCTGTATACAAAACTTTGTCCAACGAAGCTAACAAGTACTTACTTGGATATCTGGGGTGGCGATAACCGCAACTCTCAACGGCGCATTCCTAAAAATCACCCGAATGTAATGACACATTTAACTTATTTTTTCCATAGAGGGCATAAAACAACAGGTGCTACATAGCAAAGAACAGTCAAATGAATGTGGGGCTTGCCCAGAATCCCTCCAATTCCAAATAGCTACTCCCTGGTAGATGTCAGCTTCAAGACTGTTCTCATTCTCTTGAGGAGCGTCGGAAGTTTCTGTAGCCTTCAGGGCGTCCTGAATTGTTGAATCTTCGTAATTAGATGCCTCCTGAGAAGGTGCTCTTCCGATGATGTATGCTTCGGGGATAAGCGCCGACAGCGTAACGATAAGCTTTGCATCGGGCGTGAAATCAACTGATACAACCCCTAGAACCGGAAAATACAGTGTGCACGATTCAGGTGCTTGCAGCTTCAGGAAATAAGACTTAGGCACTTCTATTCTTCGTAGCTTTTTAGGCATTTGGAAATGTGATTCTACACGTTTTCAGCAGACTCAGTGTGTAAAAATGGTGTCGAAGGCGAACCCATTGGGTGAGGATTCGTGTATACTTTTACGCGTCTTGCTTCCGTTCTGTTCCATACAATGAGCAAGCTGTTCTGAAGAGCATCAAGAAAAGGGATACTTCTAGCACGTAGCGACGATTCGCTGAACCCAAAAGTTACTAGCAAGATATACAGCACTCGCAAAAATTCGGCCCCCTTGCCAATCGCTGACTGACCAACACCGAAGCCGAGTGAAATCTAGACGGCTGGCTCACGGTACCTGTCCCGTATCTGCAGTTGCAATCCACTCTTTGTCTTCTGAGATGGCAACACCTGATATGTGGTTGATGTGGCCTCGCAGAAGCACTTGCCTCTCGGCTTTGGTTTTCAGTCCCTCTTCATTGTACATATGAATTACACCAGTATTGGATGCAGGGAAAAAAATTGCTTTCTCCGAGTTCGGGCCTCTTGAAAGACTGTGCACGCCATTTCGAATGCCCTTGTCGAAGCCGAAAGCCCATTCGAGCTTCTGAAATCCCTCACACAAAGCCGAATGGCACTCATGCAGTTCTCTGAAATCGGGAACTCAAGTGCCGCACGGAGCATTCAAAAGGAAAGCTTACTATGGGAGTGTTGGTTTCACTGGCGCTTTCGGTGCAATGCAGAACCGCTGCACTGTGTGGGCTGCCTTCTTCCCTTGCTGGATCTTCTTGACTTTGCTTCCTAGACTCCTGGTGTTCGGATGTGGTGCCCTTACGGGCATCTGAAGATTCAGTGATCATTGTAATTGTTGTGCCCTAGAAATCCCTTCTATGAAAACACAGGGAAAATTCACACTGAAATGCCTATCCCATGTTAATGCAGTGAAGAAACGGCAATATGAACCATAGGCTGAGAAAGGCAAGCTGATCTCGAAAATATCAAACCTAACACGTGGAACTGAAAAATGTCAGTGGCCCTCATCGTCCGACCAGCTCAGTTAGCCGTTAGATTTCCATGCAACTACGAAGTCTTTGAGATGGAACATAGCTTTACCGATAATACTGTTGGGTTATAATCTATATGACCAAGCAGGTTCTTGAGTTGTGCTAGAATGCCGGCCTCGGGTGGAAAAAGGCGAACACACTATGGAGTGTTATTACACGGTGAAATCCGGCGGCAGATCGGGCAGCAGCGGGTTCAGCTTAACGGTTGCCGCATGAGGTGCCGCGCAAAATGGAGGACAAGAAACTGGTAAAAATTAACGTGGCATCTTGCTACATGTAGATGCCGCCTCGACAGGCTGCAACGCTACCCGAAGGGCCTAGGCCACTGCGGATTCAGCAGAATGAAGAAACGCCAGACTAAAGAAACCTCCTGAATGAGTTTCGATATTCTTGAAGTGGAGAGCAACGTTTTAACGGTTATTTCAAGTGCATATACTCCGGACGGCCAGCTGATGCGCTCCTATGCCTCAGCCATTTCTGCTCGGTTACATAGCGGTTCCATCTGCATTTTTCCACATTGATGGAAATCTGTTAGTTCGTCTGAAAAGCAACGGCACCGGTTAGGTCAATCCCACATAAGAGCTAATGACAGCAAGACAAGGCCTTTCGGCCGCAGCCCCAGTAACAGAGGCGCTCAGACCACCACCAATTGATTGTTCCCCTGAACAGGAGCTTCTATTGAAGGAAGGATATCTTTCTTGCTCCACAGAAAAATGCTGAATTTTTGAGGAGTGATTTCATTGGGATGCGATGAGCAGCAGAACCAATATTACCGAGTAACGCATTGCTTTTCACTTCTTTCCGGGTCACTTGCAGCTTTCTTAGATCACAAGTGTCTGCTGAAAGTAAAGATCCCTAAGCGACACCGCCACTATTTGCTTGCAGAAAACAATTTTTCTTAATCTTTTCCTTGTTTGTATTGCTCCAATACTCCAACAAGCAACCGTCAAGGAGAACACCGGCTCGAGTCTGCAGCTACGGGCTACTTGCCTGGCCGCTGCTCGAACAAACTGGAAAAACACGGACCTCCGTTGCCTTCTGATCGTTTCGTCCCGGATTTGTATTCATAAGCACGATGAATGATAATCCGCGTGATTCGGTGGAAGTGGATGAACGGGCGGATTCCGAAGAAAACCCGCAGAAATCTCCTACAGATGATGACCCCCAAAATGATTCTTATCCATCCGCGGCTCAAGAATATGGCGATAGACTCGAAAGTGACTCAAGAGTTTCCAATGGGCCTCCTGCATCGAAGGGAAACACGCCATCTGTCGTCCCACCTCTCGTGGGATTGCCCACGACAGAAAGAACTGTGGACATGGAGAAGGAGGGAGTCAAACTACCAACTTATCATTTAGATGATCTCTTTGAATGGGAAAGGATGAAATGCGAGACACCGTATTACTTGCAGGGTGAGAACGTGACGGGAACCAGTTGCTTTTGCTCTGCCAACGCGTCCAGCTCCCAATTAATCCATGATTAGGTATTATGGCGTACGCTGTCGTTTTCTTGCAAAATTTCACCTTTTAAAGCTTTGAATTTGACTGTTACTGCCTAGGAGATGATTCCTTCGAAACCCCGGAGAAGCAGGCAGAGCGCCAAGCTTTGAAAGTCCATCCAGAAGTGGTGGCTGCTCTCGAGGAAACATGGAGCTACTTCGCCAAGGATAGCCAAGATCACGTTACCAAAGAAGAGTACGCTCGGGTACGAAATTCTAAAGTAGGGTCGTTGAGTGCTGAGTTGCGCTAGCCAGCAAATCGTCTATGCATTGACCGTGGAGTCTTGCCATTGGTTTGCTCTACATTGTCAGATTTGAAGTCTACGATGCCGAAATTGCCTAGAAAAGATACATAGACTTCACGCCAATTAGGTTTTGTTCTCTATTAGAGGCTGCAGCCAATTCATTAGTTTACCAAAACAAGTTCCCTCTTACGTTGTCCGCTTCAAGGTCCTAATTCGCATCTGCCTCGTCCTTGTACCTGAGCTGCGAGGCCGCCAAGTGGTAGAATTGATAGAGGAAGAATGGCGGCAGGACTCCAAGGGAAAAGACTGGATTGATCATTCTGAATTCTTTGAATCCTTCTTCCAGCTGGCAGATGTGTGGACCCCCCGTATAGACGGCTCTGCTTACGCAGACTTCCTCAGGAAGCTTTTCCGGCGGATAACTATCAAGAAAGGCCGCATGAAAACCGATGCCCGGCTTACAAAAATTAAGCCGAAGATTATCGTCAAGGTTCTTAATAAAGATTTGAAGGTCGGGTGGCATGTTTCTTCCACCGTTAGACGGGACCTTCTTTGCAACATCAACAGATTACCATCAGTTGTAGTTTAGCCGTGGTTGCACGAGCAAATGCCCAGCGCATTAAAATTATGAAATATGCCTCTAGGAATTTGCGTGCAGGCACCGGATGGTGAAGTACAAGACCAAGCGGACGCCCAACGGGTGGATCTAATTGTTAGTTCGGAAAGTGACGGCAGGTGTGTCGCTGAATGGAGCAAAGCGGAACACAAGGCCGTTGAGGCAATGGTGTCTGCTCACATGAGCGGCGAAAAGAACTATCTTGATACACTTGAGCTGCGCGAGGAAGTTGTTCATGACTGTATGGAAATCTCGCAAAAGGAGCCAGTATCTACAGAATGGGCGGATTTCTCAAACATAGCGCCATTGGGTGCAGCATCGAGGGCCTTTCTTGAGAGCGTCTTTTCAAAGTCCATGGCTGCAGTTTTACAAAGGCAGCAACAAATATCTCAGCAAGACGAGCCCTCCGTCGACGCTGGCGATACGTCGCAGGAGCCTGGCGAGCAGGAGGCGACAGACAACACCGCCATGGAGCCGCAGGCGCCTCACACAGTCGCTCGTCGGCACTTTGCAGATTACCAGAGTAAAAGCGACCTTCCCGTTAGAATATCTGGAGTTTCGGAAGAGGAACTGAGGCCGTTTAAGTCCATAGGGCTGCCGGTCCAGATGGAGGGCATGCCGAAACTAATTCGCCTCAAGGGAGCACCTCCCTTGCTTTTAAATAAGCAAATAGCTGAACAGGAGAGGCTGAAGGATCAGACCGGGGCCAAGCCTGCGGACACAGAGGAAGAAGAGCAGAATATTTACCAGCTTGAGGACTCTGAAGTCGCACTGCTTCAAGATCTGAAAGCAGTCGAGGGCGATGAGATGGATTTGGAGGAGCTCAAGAAGGCCTTGTTGTCTAGCGAAGAAGAGATGCCACCTCAACCATTGCCCCCTCCAGAACCTGAGCCAGAGCCTCGCGCTGAGCTGAAAGCCGAGCCTCAAGTGGAGGTAGTGAGAGAGCCAGAGCCAGAGGAAGGTGCAACCAAAGAGGCGCAAGATGCAGGCGCCCCCGAAGGATCCGAGGGACAAGCGGTGGCAGTCACAGATGAAGAGCAAGAAGCATCAGTGGAAGAATCTGTTGAGGAGATTAATGATGAAGAACCCTATTCACAAAATGAAGACACAGCGATGCCTCAGTCTGTGCCTATGCACCGCCCGCCGACTTTCAAGTCACGTGTCTTTCACAGTCTCTGTGAAGAGTCGCTACGACAAACAAGGGCAAAGTTGTTCCGAAGGTCTATCATCATTAAGGGAGTGGGTTCCGTTGCTGTAAGAAGTCGTTCTGACTTCAAAAATTTACCTGTAGCTCGAAATTCCAATGGAGACAACTTCGGTGCGTAAGTACGTGAGAGCTGTACATGATAATGGATAACATGTTAGCCCTGTGATTCGCCTCTAAGCCGTCTTAAGAAAAAATAGTGCCCCCTGAATCCGAAGTCGGGTGAGCGCATCGATCCAGTGACTGAATCTTTAGGGCCAGTGACTGAATCTTTAGGTGCCAGGCCATTCGCGCAATTTTACAATTGTTGACTGGATGTGTTTAGAAATCGACTATGAAAGCGATAAGGAGTTCAACTTTGAAGAAACATCTTTACCAATGGAGTTCGACCAGGAGGTGGACCGTGAGAATTTGTTTCGCTTTCGAGCGACCCATTAAACTGTTTGTTGCACTCCTGTAATTCGGAACCAGGCAGCTCAGCCTTGCTGAAAAATCCTAGGTACCTCTCCTATGGGCCTGCAGCACTTATCAGCGAAGAACCTGTGGATGAAGACCCCTGGCCTAAGGCTTACCTCCAGTCCGAGAAGGCGCCGCAGGAGCATACGATAATGGTGACCGACGAAGACGAGGTAGCCTTCGCTCAAGAACCTCGCCAGGCAATCCTTATTGTTGGCCCCAATGGTCCTGGTGGGTCCGGATTTAAAATTCCACACTTGAAAAACACTTAAAACGCTTAGATGCCCCATACATTCCCCATATTAAGAAAACTTGTTCCTGCACACCCATCATTGAGTTGGTGTATCTTTGATCTTGCGGTGGTAGAGAAGAGCCGAGTGGCGTACAAACTTGCCACAAATTTGGGGCTGGAGTGGTTACAAGCCGAGTACCTCCTGTCGGCTCTCTGCAAAATAAGGCGCTCCTTACTGACACCGTTAGCGAGGCGGTAGGCTTCGACTGAACTGAATGCAAATGTGTTCGAAGGAAAAGAGAGATAAAACAGGGTCAGATACAGCAGCCCAGCGTACACGCAGAAAGATAAAATTACGGGCTGGGCTGTTGAGGCCCACACACTTAAAAACTTAAATTGAGACGCTTAAGGCGTCTTTGTAATTTTGGTCCCAGGTTGACTCGCATGATGCGTCGGGGGTCTCGTGTTCCAGTGCTGGAGGCGCTACTGCTTGCACTAGAGTTTATGGCGAGCAAACGTTCGCGAACAGCTGGGTATGTGCTGGA